CTGTGATGTTGGGGATCAGCCAAGCTCTCCATCTCTCCACCTGGAAAGCTGAGAGTGAATCCCCGGGGGCGGGGGGTATTCAAACAGCAGTTTGTGGCCACAGTCAGGGCAGGGGATAGTGGTTGCTGGGTGCCCTCGGAATGCCAGCGCAAGGACGCAGGCCGAGTCGCTCCGCTCGGCACTTGGCCGGCCTCGATCTCTTTCCAGCCTCGCTCCTTGACTCCGGTTCTGTTCCCGAGTTCCAGATCTTCGCTTGCGCCGCGTCACTTTGGAGACTAGCGAGCGGCTTGCGGTTGCCGTGGGAACCCCGCCCGGGCCGGCGCGCAAAGCACGACTCGAAGCGCGGGGCGCTGGGCCTGCGCTGAGCGCGCGGGGAGCGGCGTTTGGGTCTCAGGAAGACACCTGTCGCCGGCGGCGAGGGGAGGGCGTGTCGCGGCCAAAGTTACTATTTTTTTAATTTTTATTTTAATCGAGGTGTAACTTTTGAACAGTAGTGCATACATCTTAGAAGTACAGCTTGGTGAATTTTTACAGATGTATAAAACTCGTGTAACCAACGCGTCCGGATCAAGATACAGAACACTTTCAGAGCCCCAGAATGCTTCCTCGGGCCGGGAGGATATTTTTAATTGTCTTTTTTGCACATCTCCGGGAATAAACCGATGAGGGAGCCATCGCTATTGCGAGGACACGCGGGATTTCGTGTTTTCTCCTGGCTCTGCTTTGCTGGTCCCTCTTCGGGCTTGTTTCCTGTAAAGAAAAAAGGAACTGACATTTGTTACGCCGTTTACTCCTTGCAAACTGCTTTATATACTTAGCTAACTTTAACCCTGATAACTACCCTATGAGGTCAGTACTTGATTATCTCCAGGTTACTTGTTAGAAACTATGACTCAGGGAAATGAAATAAACGGTCTGAATCCGGACAGCTCATATGTGTTGGAGCTTGAGACTGAATCAAGCTGTCTAACCCTGACGTTTATCCTCGTTTGTTGGTTCCATTCAATGGTTTCTTTTTAAGACCCAGACAAATACAACGTGTTGGGAGAGTGGGTCCGATCACAGCTCTACGCCTTGGTGCATGTAGTTCCTTCTACCTGGAACTCTCCTTTCTTCCTCCAGGCCTTGTCCTTGAGGCAAGCTCCTATTCATCCTTCAAAACCCACTAATGCATCACCTCCTCTGTGAAGCCTTCCTTAACTTCAATCCACCCCTGAGCCCCACCTCCACCCCTGGTAATTACTCCCGCCTCTGAGCCACGTCCAACCTCTGTGCACTTGAGTCCTTCCCCTGTCTTCCAGTGCTGCAAGTCTGGAGTCTCGCTCTGTAAATGTGGCCTGCGTTGACTCTGCGCGTTGCGCTCTAAAAATATTGAGCCGGAAAGAGCTTCCCAAACACCTGCAGCGGGACTGCAGAAGAGACTGGCTACCATCAGCCCACCTCCACCCGGTTAGGAAATGGACTTGTCCGCAACTCCCGAATGGGACCTCAGGGCTGCCTGGCAAGAGTTCATTCCTTCCAGGGGGAGCGTCCGCTCCCAGAGACCGGATACTGCGTAGTGGACTCTAAGGATCCAAAGGGAGTACCGAGAGCGCCCGGCCCAAAGGGTAGGAGGACTCCCCCTTCGTTGTAGGGACTGCCGAGTGAGAGGCAGCCAATCAGTGGTGGCGTGCTGTTAGAATTGTGGTTTTACCTTTATATTCCTACTTCCACACAGAAGGCAGTTTGCAGGAAATTCAATACTGTGGTATTGCATAATAAGGGACTAGGACCAGGAAGGAAAAAATATTATATATACTTTTTCTTCTAGAATTGAGGGACTCCCCCATTTTCTCTCTCATAAATCGGATTTTGAATATCCTGGTGGGCAAAGCAAAAAGGGAAACCCATTTATTACACAATTTGCTCTGTTAATGAAGAGAAAACATTCCTTGCCCTTTGAGCTGAAGGAAATTTCCCCCTTGGCTTCCCCTCAATTGCATTCCCACAGCAGACACGTCTGGGTGTCAGGAAAGTGAGGCTCAGGGACTTGCCAGGAACCACCCAACATCAGAGACAGATAGTGTCTAATGGGGCAGTTGGTGGGAGTGCTGGCATGGGCTGAGCTAAGTGTTTTAAATGAGCAGGGGATTTCCCCTTGTTCTCCATGGAGAGCTCTGGAAAACATCCACACATCTTGAAGATGGGGAATATGAAAGAGGCAGGGCTGATTACTAAGGACAGAGTGGTAGAACTTTGGGGATAGGAGGTCTGTGTGACCTGGGGGAACCTCAGTTTCCTCATCTGTAAAATCGGAGCAACAGTATTGGTTTCATAGGGACATTGGGAAGCATGAGAAACTCTTTGCAGTCGAGTCGATTCCAACTCATAGCGACCCTATACTATAGGACAGAGTAGAACTGCCCCATAGGGTTTCCAAGGTCGTTATCTTTACAGGAGCAGACTGCCACATTCTTTCTCCTGTGGAGCGGCCAGTGCTTTTAAACCACTGAACTTTCAAGCTCTTAACCACTGCACCACCAGGCTCCATGGGATGCATGGAATAAACAGTCAGCAGTGCTTCTATCTTCATTATCTCCATTTACCAGATGGGAAATCTGAGGCTCACAGATGAGACATGGCAGAGTCAAGCCCACAGAGGCAGGCTCAGGAGGAAGTCCAGGCCCCAGGGTCCCCCAGACTGGTTCTTTCCTTTCCACCACCATGGTAGCCACTCCTCAGACCTCCCCAGGCCTTGGCCAGTTCTCCTGTGGACTCCTCTGGAGAAACGGTCGGAAGGGGAAGATTCTAGCCCTGTTCCATCCCCTGCTGGCAGTTGGGGCTGCTTCCCGGGAGGACAGATGTTTCACCAAATGGTAAATGCACGTGCTTTTCCCTGGCTTGGGGAGGAGGTGGGCGCAGAAGAAGAGATGCCAGCTGGTTGGGCAGAGAGAACCGCAGCCACACCTGAGAGATTTAAATAGCCACCGCCTTCTCTTGGCACGAGCGGGAGGGAGGCATCTGGGCAGAGAACAGAGGAGCCCGTTCAGAGCCTGCCACAGTCCTGGGATGACTGCCTGGCTCCTCCTCCCCCTGGAGGGATTTGAGCTATGCACCTCACCTCCCTGGGCATCAATATCCATCACCTGGAAAGTGGGGACCTAAAGCCTGCTTCACAGGGGGCGTGCTGAGGCTGAACTGAGAGAACCTGAGTTCTTGTGCCTCACCCATGCCTGGCACCGGTGGGTGCTCAAACCTTGTTGGCTATTGACACCCCAATTTCCTGCTAGGGAGGAGTCCACACTGCAGCATCCCTGACAAATGGGCACCTGCCTCCTACTTACCCACCTCTCATAACGGGACCCTTATCCCCTTCCGTGGCAACCCACAGTGTAAGGATTTAATTGCATGAGCCTGTAATCAGACCATGTGTTGGAATCCAGGCTCCACTACTTAGTGGGCTGTGTGACCTGAAGCAAGTTACTTAACCTCTCTGTGCCTCGGGAATAATAATAGTAACTTTCTTATAATGTTTTCTAGATCAGTGCCTCTCAAACTTTCATATGCACATGAATCACTTGCAATCTTGTTAACTGCAGATTCTGATTCAGTGGGTCTGAGGTGGGGCTTGAGATTCTGCATTTCTAGTGGGCTTCCAGGTGATCCCAATGGTGCTGGTCTTTGGACTACATTTTGAGTCTCAAAGACTGGCCTTGCCCTGGAGTCACTGTGAGGGGGACGGGGTGTCATGGAAGGGTCTCAAGCAGGGCAGTGACAGATTTTCGTCATGGAAGAGGCTCTCTGGCTGTCTGTGGCAGAGAGTGGGGGTGGGAGGCGGCCAGTTGTTTAGGAAGAGATGAGGATCCTGAGTAGGGGAAGGGGCTACAAGGGGTCATAGACAGGGGTGGGGTGGGTGGGGTGGTAAGAACACTTAGCTCATCCTGTCCGCTCTTACAGATGCAGAAACTGAGGCCCAGAGAGGGTGGCTGACCTGCTCCAGCCACACAGCATTCAGAGGACCCCGCCCACTAGACTCCGTTTACCATCGGAGCACCCTCCCTGCCTCCCAGTCTCCTGGCCAACACCCTGCAGTCCTCTGGATCTCTCCAGGCCTGTGTGCTGCTTGTCATACCAAGAAGAGGGAGGCGCTAATGAGGGCGTTGGATCTCCCTGACAGACTTAACCACTTTCACACTAACATCCACTCCATTTTACTGATGAAACAACTGAGGCCAAAAGAGGAGAAGGCCCACAGGAACAGAGGTCAGCCTGACACCAAACCTGACAGGTGTCATTACTATTGTCCACCCCCAACAGGGTCGGATCAGGACAAGTGTTGCTATCCTAATTAATAGATGAGAGGGTGAGGCTCCAGTTCCTAGCTCTTCTCCCCAGCCCACCCCATCCAAAGAGGAAGCAGTTGGAGCCCCAGGAAGATGATGACAGTGTCCGTTGCCGTAGAGTCAATTCTGACTCCTAGCGACCCTACAGGACAGAGTAGAATTGCCCCGTAGAGTTTCCAGGGAGCGACCGGTGGATTCGAACTGCCGGCCGACCTTTTGGTTAGCAGCCGAGCTCTTCACCACTGTGCCACCAGGGCTCCATGACGACAGTAGCAGTGGCCATTTATAGGGCACTTAAGACCTGCTAGGCTCATGCCAAGCTCTGGCAGCCGGGACCCCACTTCCCCTGGAACCAGTGTTATTAGCCTTGTATACAGAAGAGGGAAGCGAGGCACAGGCAGGGGCTCGGTGGCTTGCCCAAGCTCGCATGCCAGAGGACTCGCGTTTCCGAGGAAGGGAGGCAGAAGCCTGGACTCCCAGGCGGACACCGTCCAGCTCATCAGGCGTTGCGGGACGTGGCGGACACGCACAGAGCCGTCTCCCAGAGGCCGGGAAGGCTGCGTCCCGGCCGGAAGCCCCTCTGCCTAGCCAGGCTGCCCCGCCCCGGGAACTAGAGACGCTGCGCTGGGCGGGGGGCGGGGTCTTCCCGCAGCGGCTTCCTGGCTCTACCACAGTGCGCTGGCTGGCGGACCGGGTTGGGAGTGAAGCGCGCGGGGCTCGGAGGCGCCGGTGGGGGCCTGTGCGCACCAAGAGGCAGCGGGGGACGTGGCCAGCCGCCGCCCTGCCAGAAAGTTTCCTGGAAGTTTGCTGGGCGCCGTCGCAAGGCCACCTGCAGGACCATGAACGTGTTCCGAATCCTCGGCGACGTGAGCCACCTCCTGGCCATGATCTTGCTCCTGGGGAAGATCTGGAGGTCCAAGTGCTGCACGGGTGAGGGGCGCCCCGGCGGAGGCGGGGCTCGGAGCGGAGGGACAGGGTCACCTGGCCTGGGATGGCCAGCACATGCCCCCTGCCTGCAGGGCCAAGGGGAGGGCGGTGACAGACTCTGTGAGAAGCTGGCGGGGCTCCAGAAGGTCTCATCAGGGTGGGAACTTTGGCTTGGGGGTCCTGGAAACTGTTTTTGCACAACTGAGCTTCCAAAGAAAATTTAAAGCTCTACAAAAGAATGATGAGCTTCTTGAGATTATGGGGGGTTGGTGCCTCCTTTGCCTCCATTGGCATTGCCACTGCTAATCACTCCACTGCTCAGCCAGGAGCAGCACTGCTTGGGGCCCTATTGTTTTCCCCCACTCTCACTCAGGCCCAGGATGGGGGAGGGGGTGCATTCAGGAGATGCTCCCCCAGCTCTCAGGCTCTTCTTCCCTTCTCCCTTCTACTCTTCCCTGCCCCTTCCTAGACTTCCCTGCCAGGCTGGCCCTGCCCTCAGCCTGCCTGCATGTAGCCCAGCAAGGTGTGATGTGGCAGGAGGGACACCACCCGCCCAGGTGGGTGTGGAGCTGCCCCTGAGCTGAAGTCCAGGGAGGCTGGCAAGGGAACTCTTTTGCCCGGTAGTCTGGCTGCCCTGCTGGGGGTGTGGAGAAATTTGGAGGCTGGACTGCCTGCCGCCAAACAGACCCAGTACATCAAGCCTGCCGCAGCCATCTTTGGGCTGGAGTCGCCAGCCCTGTGCTAAGCACTGGGGGTGAGGGGGTACCAACAGAGATGAGCTCAGGCCCCTCATGGGGGCCGAGGAGGCTGAGGGAGCCCCAGGAGACGGGTCCCTGAAGGCTCTGTGGAGGGAGCAGCTCTGTGCTGGGCCCCTGGAGGGCAGGGCAGTGTTTCAACCCAGACAGTTGTTGCAACACAGAGGTCACAGAGCACCGGCCGTTCTTGGGAATGGTGAGCAGTCTGATGTGGGGTGGGCCTGGAGGGAGACGCATCTAGGAGGAGGCTTGTCCAAATGTGAAGGGCCTGTCAGGCTAAGGAGTCTGGACTGGGGAGCCTTGGAAGGTTCGGGAGCAGGGGAGGGAGGGTACAGGGGGCCTGAAGCAAGTCACTCTGGACGTGGTGTGGAGGCTGCCAGCCAGGGAGGCCAGTGAGGGAGTGGGGGTTGGACCGATGTGAGGGTCATTGTGGAAGGAGTGGTTCTAGATCTGGAGGCCATTGAGTTTGGGGTCTCAGGGGAGACTGGCAGTTCATGGCCCCTCAGGTTCCCTCTCAGGGGTGCTGGAATGCTGAGAGGGCTGGCCAGAGGCAGCAGGCTCCCATGAGGCGAGGTACCTAGCAGTTCCAGAGCGCCCTGGGTGAGTGAGCAACCAAGACCAGGAGGGAGCGCTGTTACCCAATCTACTCTGCCAAGCACTGTACTAGTCCCTTGGAGTAAGCCAAAGATCCTGCCCTGGTGGAGCCAACATTCTAGCGGTGGGGAACCATCAATAAACAACATTTCTTATAGCAGTTGAGTCAATTAACTGGTTGGTTAGTGGTGATAAGTGCTATGGAAAAGAGAAAAAGGGCAGCGAGGGGAGGGGAATGGGCCTGTGTGGGTACAGCGTGGTCAGTGTAGGCTTGTTGGCAAGGTGAGATCTGAGGAAGCAGGGTGCCTGGAGGCCAGCCTCATTGGCCTGAAAAGCAGGGCCTCATGTGGCCCTGCCCTATCCAGCCATGAAAGCAGGAGACTTGCCCTTGTTCTCTCTCCACTACTGACTCACTGTGTGACCTTGGGCCTCAGTTTTGCCACCTGTCAAATGTAAGGGAAGGCTGCACCAGATCAGAGGGTCTCATGTGCTCGATGGATGTGTCAGGGGCTCTGGCCAGGTGCTGGCTCATGTTCTTTCTCCTCTATGTCCTGGGTCTCATGGGCGGCTTGCTGTGGTGGAAATTATTCATTGCTTCAAGTATGTGAACCCCATTATGCTTGAGATTGCCAGGATGCCCTAAACATTAAGAGAAATGTGAGCGAAGCCCAGGGGCCTGGCAGGCTGAGGATGGAGAGAGGGGAGGGTGGGGAAGACTATGTGAGGTGCGTGGTCAAGCCTCCCCCACCAGGGCTGTCTTCTGGATCCTCCTACATGGGGCTGAGGGCCTCCCTGACAAGATTTCTGTGAGGGCTCAGCTGCTGTTCGCCCAGTACTGTCTTCCGTGCATCTCCACCCCCGAAGTGCGCTCCTTCCCCCACGGCCAGCCTCAGTGCCGTCCTCATCCCTGGCAAGTCCACGAGTCCCAGGCCCCTAGGGAGGCATACACATTCTCATTCTATCGTAGTTCCTCTTTACAACAGTCCTACCACATAGGTGTGAGGGTGCCCATTTTACAGACGAGAAAGGTGAGGCCCAGGCTTGCCCAAGGCCACACTGATAGGGAAGCCGGTATTCTCCAGAATGTTAGGGACTTTAGCTGTATTCATCCTCAGTCACTAAAACTGTACCCCCCACCGAATGTCTGGAGAATGATTAATAAGGCAGGGGTCAGGCATGTAATGGAACCACACCCTCCATCAGATAATATGGTGCTAAACAACCCAGCTGTTCCATGACACGGGATAAAATCCAGACGCATCACCATGGCTGGAGGGAGAGAGCGAGGGGGAGGGTGACCAGATGTGGGACGACAGCCCAGGCCAGATCTCATGAGCCGCAAGAAGAGTTTGGGTCTTTTTCTAAAGGCATTTGGAAGCCACTTAAGGGCTTAAGCAGAATTTTATTTTGAAAATATCTCTTTGATTGCTGGATGGAGCATGGAATTGGGGAGGTGGGTAGCAAGAAAGGATATGGGGATACCAGTCAGGGGATCATTTTGGTAGGGCTGCTGGACTTGATGGGGGACATCGGGGTTGAGAAAGTGGAGCTAAGAAATATGGAGGAAGATTGGTGGGGCTTGGAGATTGGATGTAAGGGACAAAGGGTGTGAGGACACAAGGATGGCTCTTGGTCTTCTGGCTTGAGCACCAAGGATGGTGGTGCCATTTATGAAGAAGAGGAGATGTGAGAAGGAGGAGGCTTGAGGAGGAAATGATGAGTTTGGTCTGGGCTGTGATGAGTTTGAGGTGCTTGTGGGACTGCCCAGTGGTATTGAGTGTTGTTGTTAGGTGCTGTCTAGTTGATTTTGACTCATAGTGACCCCATGTGACAGAGTAGAACTGCCCCATTGTGTTTTCTAGGCTGTAACCTCTACAGAAGAAGCCCTGGTGGTGCAGTGGTTAAGCTCTCGGCTGCTAACTGAAGGGTCAGCAGTTTGAACTCACCGACTACTCCAAGGGAGAACGATGTGGCAGTCTGCTTCTGTAAAGATTTACAGCCTGGAAACCCTATGGGGCAGTTCTACCCTGTCCTGTAGGGTCCCTGTGAGTCAGAATCGACTGGATGGCAACAGGTTTGGTTTTGGTTTGGTAATCTCTACAGAAGCAGATCTCCAGTTCTTTCTCCTGCACGGTGGCTGGGTGGGTTTGAACCACCAGCCTTTTGGTTAGCAGCAGGGTGCTTAAACGTTGCACCACCAGGACGCCTTTGGTATTGAGTAGGTAGGTGGATATATAGGTCAGAAACTCGAAGAGAGTTTGGAGCCGGAGGTGTAAATATGGAGTCCCGGCATTTGGGGCAGTCATAGCCCAAGACCAGGTGAGATTGAGAGGACAGAGTGAGGAGAGAAGCAGCCGAGGATGAGGAGGATTCAGCAGAGAGGAGGACAGGATGGCCAGAGGAGGGGGCAACCATCAGAGTGGGTGGTCAAGACAGCCAGGTCATGAGAGATGAGGTGAGTGAGGACGGAATGGACTTTCTGTTGTGGTTTTGGTGGAGTGATGGAGGCTGTGTCCCGCCTGGTAGAGAAAGAGAAAAGACTCACCTCGCCTCACCCCAGAACTGTCTCTGTGATGTACCAAAAAGTAGCCAAAAGGAGACCAAGGGGGATGATAATCCCAAGGAGCACCATGGGGTCCTGGATTGGATGCTGGGACAGAAAAAGAACAGTGGGATAACTGGTGAAATCTGAATCAAGTCAGCAGTTTAGGTGATAGTGCTAAGCCCATGTTAATTCTTAATGTAGGTGTGTTTATTTCGGTAAATATATATAACTTAACATTTGCCATTTCATCCTTTTTTATGGATACAATTCAGTGAGATTAATTACGTTCACCATGTTGTGCAACCAACACCATTATCTGTTTCCAAATGTAACAGAAACAAGACAACAACAAAAAAGAGCAAAGGGATGAGTCAATTCTAACTCATGGCGACCCCATGTGTTTCAGAGTAGAACTGCCCTCCATAGAGTTTTCATGGCTGTGACCTTTCAGAAGCACGTCGCCAGGCCTTCCTTTCTTCCTAGGTGCTTCTGGGTGGGATCTAACCACTAACCATTTGGTTAGTAGCCAAGCACGTTAACCTTTGCACCACCCAGGGACTCCTGACAGAAACTCAATACTCCTTCATCAAGAGCTCTCCCTTTCCAGCTCTCACCCGCCCCTGATAAGCACTGGTAACATTTGCTCGCTATGCATTTTCCTATTGTAGATATTTCACATAAGTGGGATCATACAATATTCTTTTGCATCTGACTAATTCTTCATTTTGATCAATGTACCGTAGTTATGTAAGATACTAACATTAGAGGAAAATGAGTGAAGGATATATGGGGACTCTCTGTCTGTACAACTGTTCTATAAATCTAAAATTATTTCAAAATAAAAAGTTTAAAAAAAAAGAGGCCAAGTTCAGAACAAGGCAATCTATGGAGACCAGTGGTTGCTTAGGGCTTGGGGGGAGCCCTGGTGGCGCAGTGGTTAAGAGCTCGGCTGCTAACTAAAAGGTCAGCCGTTCCAATCCAACAACTGCTCCTTGGAAACCCTATGGGGCAGTTCTACTCTGTCCCGAAGGGTCGCTATGAGTCGGAATCAACCCGATGGCAACGGGTTTGGTTTTTGGTAGAGCTGCGGGTGGGGGACAATGGGGTGATAGGGGATGACAGATAAGGGATACAGGTTTCTTTTTGAGGTGATGAGAATGTTGTAAGATTGACTGTGGTGATGGTTGCACAACTCTGAATATATAAAAATCATTGAATTATACACTTTAAGTAGGTGAATTATATGGTAAGGGAATCATATCTCAATAAAACAGGGAAGGAAGGAAAGAAGGAAGGAGGGGAGGGAGGGAGGGAGGAAGGGACAGAGAGAAGGAGGGAAGGAGAAAGGAAGAGGCCAACCCAGGTCAAGCAGCAGCATGAAGAATATTACCCATTTTTGCCAGCTCCATGTGTCCACGTGTCGTGTGCACGTGTGTGTCATATGTGTGCATGCGTCATATGTGTATATATGCACAAAGATCTGGAAGGACACTGAGGTTTTGGGTTGTCAGTCAGTTGCTGCTTTCTTTACATCTTTATGTATTGTCTGATTTTTGCCTCACAAAGAGTAAAAATATGCATAACTTTTGTAACTAGAGAACAGTTTTTTTAACCTTTAAATTTTGGAAAATAAAGTAGAATGCTCCCCTGGCCCTGAGCCTTCCTCCGCTTGCTCCGATCTCCCTAATGAGTCAACACCTGTGAAGTCACTGAGTTGTTCTCCAAAGACGTTCTCCAAAGGTGGAGCTTTGGGGATTGTCAGTGGAATCCCGGGGGTGGAGCACAGAGGAACCTCAACACCATCAGCAGCCCTACTCTCACCACCCCAACAGTCTCCCCAGAGCAAGAAGTGAGGCAGGCACACGAAGGGTGACTGGGAACTTGGTGTTCATGTCTTTATTTGGAGACTGGGAGACAGATTACAGCTTAATGAGAGGAACGACGACTCAAGTGATCCAATGGGAAGGCGTGAGTTTCCTGTCCCCAAGAGAGCGACAGCTGTCCTGGACAGGGTGTCTTCATTAAGTGGAGTGGACACTCCCGAGGCTTTTCCAGCTCTAGGTTCTGAGCTTCTGGAATGTGGGTGGGCCTGGGAGTCTTTGTCCTCATTGTCTCCTGTCCCCTCTGACTGCAGGCATCTCTGGGAAGAGCCAGATCCTTTTCGCTCTCGTCTTCACCACCAGGTACCTGGACCTCTTTACCAACTTCATCTCCATCTACAACACAGTAATGAAGGTGAGGGGGCCAGGCGGAGCCAGTGGTGGGGCCTGCCGGGCACCCACAGACTGTAAACAGTGCGCTTGGGAACTCAGCCTTGGGTTTCAGTCCTGGCTTTGCTGCTTGGCAGCTGTGTGACTTAGGCTTGGGCAAGGCCTCTGGCCTTTGTGCCTCAGTCTCCTCATCTGCAAAATGAATACTAGTACCTCAAAGGGTTTTGTTATGAAAGTTAAAGGGGGTAATAAATGTAAATGCACAATAACTGTCATGTATTTTAAAACGCTCAATAAAAGTTAGCCATTATAATGAGTAAAAAACAAGCAGAATATCAAACATGGCAACCTTAGCTTTCAGAGAACTTATTCATCCTTCCATCCATCTATCCATCCAACCAACAGATATTTATTGCTCACCTACTGTGCGCCAGGCATCATTCTGAAGACTACATACGGGGCTCCTGTTCTCATGGAACCTACCTTCTAATGGGGAAGATAGAATAAAACAAACAAACACAAACAAGAAGAACTTTGGTTAGGGGTTGTTGTGTGCTGTCGATTCCAACTCATAGCAACCCTACTGGACAGAGTAGAACTGCCCCATAGGGTTTCCTAGCCTGTAGTCCTTATGGGAGCAGATCACCAGGTCTTTTCTCATGCAGAGCTGCTGGTGGTTCAAACTGCTGACCTTTTGGTTAGCAGAGTGCTTAACCATTGTCCCACCAGGGCTCCTTTTGGTTAGGGGTAAGGCTATGCAAATAATTAAAATATTCACTTCAACAAAAAAAAAGTTTGAAGAATAGGGAGTTAACTTTAGGGAGTGTGATCAGAAAGTACCTCTCCAAAGAGGTGACATTTAAGCTGAAATGTGACAGAAGGAGCTAGCCACGGGAAGATCAGAGGAAGAGCATTCCAAGCAGAAGGAATAGCCGGTGCAAAGACCGGAGACAGGACAAGCTTGGCGTATAGACAGAAGACCCGTGCAGAGGGAGCACAGTGGGCGAGGGCTTCCTAAGTGAGGTTAACCCGTTTGGATTTCATTTTAATTGTGGTGGGAAGCCATTGCTTTGAATCATGACCCTGTTTTATAGGAGCAACTGAACATCTCTGAGTTCCACTCTGATGCCCCGGGCCCTTGGCCGTAGACTGTTAGAATATTTTGGGCTGAGGCATCTTCTGAGCTTCTAACCAACCATCCTGGCTCTTTAGCTTGGTGGAAGGAGCATGGGTTTCAGAGTCAGTAAAGTGGGATGTAACTCTGCTTGGATGCTGGTAACAGAGACTCAAGAGTGATTTTAACAAGAGGCGGGTATTTTTTCCTCTCATAACATGAAATCTGGGGATGGGCAGTCTAGGGCTAGGATGGCAGCTCCATTGATGTCCTGGACTCTTAACCTTCTGCTCTGCCATCTTTAGAGTGTGACCAGGACCTACTTTATAGAAGTGTGAGCTGTGCAGTTACTTGGTTTCATGCTCTGCTATCACCATCTTGAAATTCTTAACATTTTTTTTTAACAAGGACCTGCATTTTCATTTTGCACTGGGCCCCACAAATTATGTAACCAGTCCTGAATGTGACATCTATCTGAAAGGTTGCCTCAGGGTCACAATGTAGGTGCTACAGTTCCTAACGTCACATCACATTCTGGGCATAAAGGAGGAGCAAGGGAGAAAAGAGCCAATAGGTGCTGCCAAGACAGGTAAGCCTTTTTTAAAGGGCTTTTCCCAGACCCAGTGACTTCATTTACTTGCGTCCTTATCTGCAAAGGAGGCTGAGAAATGTAGTTTCTAGTTGGACACATTGCCTCTCCCAATAAAACAGGAGTCATGTTTATAAGAAGGGCTGCATGATCTTACCTATCTTGCAGGGCTGTTGTGAAGATCACATGAGATAGTATATGTAAAGTGCCTAGGATAATATAAATCAAGTTTTCTTTCTCCTCCGTATCAGAGATACCCCTTTGGGATTCCAGGCATCATGTTCCTAGGATTGGTGGAATGGAAGATGCTGTTGCCTGCGGGTTATTAAACTAGCTGGATGTGAACTCAGGTTGAGATCCTGAAATCATTGTGTACTTAAGTTCAACACACAAATATCAGCCACCACCTGCCTAGTTTCTCTGTCCAAGGATCTGGTGTTGGGCAGTCCTGGCAAAGACTGGGAGAGCCAGCCCTTGGCATAGTTGAGTGAGGTGTGGGAAACTAAAAGCAAGAAGTCATTACCACCCATTTTGCAGAGGTCAATGATTCATTGATTCATTCCAGCATTTATGTGTGTCAGGCTCTGAGTTAGGAGCTGGGGATTCTGAGGTGGCCAGGACATGGACCCTCCCCTCATGGAATCCCCTTTTGTAGGGGAGACAGACTTGTACACATTTACAGAACATGTGATCATGGGCTGCAGTAAATATTTCCACATGGGGGTCTGTGCCTCATTCTGGTGAGAAAGACTTGAGGAAATAACTCTTAGAACCTGAGTCTTCAAGTACAAATAGGATCTCTCTAGGCTAGCAACATGAGCATCACCTGGGAATGTGTTAGAAATGTAAATTCTCAGGGCCACCCCGACCTACTAAATAAAAAATTATGAGTTGAAATTGACTTGATGGCAACGGGTTTTTTTTTTTTTTTTGTGGGGGGAGGGGAGGTGAGGGGTAGGCGGCAGCCATCTATATATGACGCATGTTCAAGTTTGAGAACTGTGGCCTAGAAGGTTAGAGATCAGATCTTAAGGTCATTATATGCTGGGAGGAGAGTAGTTAGAAAAGAGAGCTTTCTGAAGGAGCACTGGTCAACTAATTCCGGGGGTGTTACTCTTGTGGAAGAGTGCTCACAAGTCACTGATGCAGATTCAGGCAGTTGAGGCAAGAGCCCTGGAATGCCACTGCTAAATGCCCCAACAAAGACCAAGCCTGCTTTTTTGCCTAATGCTCCACAGATGGAGGAGACACCAGGCCACCTTTGTCTTCATGGTAGCATCGTAGGTCCCAGAGACTTGGAGGTACTTAACCAAAGGGTCGTTAGTTTCAGATTATAGGCCTAACACCTCTCTTCCGTGTAAGGCACAGCACTAGTCCTTAAGTTTGCTAGGTCCCAGGCAGGGTGGCTATCTGAAGCCCAGCTCATAGGCTGGAAGAGACTTCTAGATTCCCATGTCTCTCTCTCCCTGTTTAGGTGGTTTTTCTCCTCTGTGCCTATGTCACTGTCTACATGATCTATGGGAAATTTCGGAAAACATTTGACAGTGAGAATGACACATTCCGCGTGGAGTTTCTCCTGGTCCCAGTCATTGGCCTCTCCTTCCTTGAAAACTACAGTTTCACTCCCCTGGAGGTAAGGGAAGGGACCAAGAATACTAATCCCCAAAGGTAAACTACTTTCTAACATCCTTCCCTCTGGACCCTTGGTAATGTCTGCCAGCCCCTTTCCCTTCTGCTACAACCATGACCGTTACTAGTATGATGTTCAATTATAAGTTATGAAGAAACTGACAAGCTATTCATAATGCTCCACTTGAAAATGGACATATCTAAATATTCATAGTGTTCATAAATAAAGCAGGCATCACAGCACCTCTTGTGGCTGTGGAAACCTTATGTCCCACAGATGATTAGCAGATAGCTTGAGCACAGTCCAGTCCAGAGATTCTGATTCAGTAGGTCTGGGCTATGGCCCAGAAATCTGTTGTAACAAGCGTTTTGGGAGATTCTGATGCTGGCCTCAATTATGATGAGTTTATACAATACTCTGCTACAACTAAATGTTCATGCTATGTTGCAAAAAAGGCAGTATGTACTGCATATCGAATGTTGAAAATAAAACATTTTGTATTTACATATTTGCTTAACTCTTTTCTCCAGTACACATACTAGTGATTAAACTTTTTAGAGAGATGGACCCCTTCTCGTTCTTGATCAGCCTCTTGGGCCGCTTTTCTCTTTGGCTCAGATCCTCTGGACTTTCTCTATCTACCTGGAATCGGTGGCCATCCTGCCTCAGCTCTTCATGATCAGCAAGACTGGTGAGGCCGAGACCATTACTACTCACTACCTGTTCTTTCTGGGTCTGTACCGGGCACTCTACCTGGCTAACTGGATCAGGCGGTACCAGACGGAGAATTTCTATGACCAAATCGCAGTAGTGTCTGGAGTGGTACAAACCATCTTCTACTGTGACTTCTTCTACTTGTATGTGACCAAAGGTAGGTGCTGGGAGAAGTACTGCTGGCATGGGCCCAAGGAGTCACTCATCCAGTCAATAAATATTTGAGGGTATACAGAGGTGAATGAGGCCAAGCCCCTGCCCCTCATGGTGCTTCATTCTAATAGGGGGAAGAAAAACACACTTATTTCCAGGAAACATTAAATGCCATGAAGAAAATAATGCAGGCCAATAGGCTATTGTGTACACCGTGTAAATACCGTACAGGAAAGAGCTGTGAGATGACATTTAATGGACTTCTTGAGTGCATAGCAAAATATGAAAAAACATCCCAGAGAACAGCTTATGCAAAAGTTCCAAAGCAGGAGCCAGTTTGATGTGAAGGAGCAACAGAAAAGACTAGTCTGGTCAAAATCTGTAAACCCTGAAGTCACAGGTCACCCAGGGTCTCTTATTGCAGAATGAAGGATCTCAATTGTACTGATCGCAAAAGGCAGCTACTGGAGGGATCAGACAACGAGGGGTCAGCTGCTCATGCGGGATAAAACTCAGCCACAGCAGGGAGACTAGTTATGAGGTGGCAGCAACTATCCAGGAGAGGTCATCTGTGGAGAGATGTGAGCAGGTATCTCGGGAGTGGAGTTGCTGACTGGATGTGAAGTGTGTAACAGAGGACAACTAAGTTTACGACTTATCTAAGTGGGGAGGGTGGTGGTGCCAGTAACCGAGATGGGGGATCAGGGAGTCAAGTTTACCCAGAGGAAGTTTCCCGCTTTAGCTTCAACACCTGAACACCTACTGTGAGCTGGGCATTAGGGATGCCAAAGTTATATACATACTTACAAAGCTGTTCTTTCTAAGTATGGTGAATTCTGATTTTGTCTCCATTTTCTTCCAGTCCTTAAAGGAAAGAAGTTAAGTCTTCCAGTGCCAATTTGAGGGCTTTGAGATGTTCTACACCTTAAGGGCATGGAATACACCATTTCAAATGTTCCTCTTGATGACTTATCCACGATTGGGCTCAAATGTTACAATTAAAGCCAGAAAAAGCTAAATATGGACTTCAGCTGACCACTGATCTTTCTCTCTAGAAGACTGTCTCATCAATAGGAGCTCCCTGATAAGCCTATTAGAGAGGTAATGAAGCTAGGCCGATTACACAAGTATGCTGCCTCAAAATATCAACAGCAAGAAGGCTTAAGGTGCCCAATATATATTGCTCTAAAAGCCCTAGTGCAAGACTCATGCTCTTTAAGAAACAGTCACTCCAATCTGGAAAGATGGCCCAGTGTGTAAGGAGAATGCCCCAACTGAAGCTGGCAGCCCAAACATTAGGAGCATACTGCTCTGGGAATTTTCACTTTCCAGGTATGAAAGCAAACCTAGGGAGTGTCAAGACACAAAGGTGATAATCTACAGGTGTGAAATACCAGTTCACTTCCACCCTGCCTTTAGTAGTAAACCAGATCCACCTGCTTTAATGGGAGGCAAGTAGTTTCACATGCCTCAACTTTAAAAGGGTCTTTTTACTGTGGTTCACACCAAGTGCTACACTAGCCCTGCACCCACTCCTTAAATCCCAGTATAACCCTACCTTAAATCCCAGTATAACCCTAGGTAGCTACCATTAGCATTATCACTTGTTTACTGACGAGGAAACATAACCCAAGCCCTTAACTACTAGGCATACATAAAGACCAATCAATTTCACTGTCCTTTTCAGAGTTTCGGTGCGAACCAAGGTGATTTAGTCAAACCAACACCCCCAATCTTGGTCTTGTGAAGCAAACAGCAACTATCATAAGATGACTACCATTTTACTGGACTTAAAAACTGAATAGTGAAGAGTTTTTAAACAATAAAAGGTTCATTCTTTATTGTCAACAGTGTTTTTATTTATACCTACAAAAGAAAACAAGATGGTATCAAAAGGACAATTTACAAACTAAGAATAGTAACACAGCTCTTAGCCTCCTGTGCCTGAATATCACATCTACAAATCTTCCAATTCAAGTCTTAACACAACAGGAATGTGTTCAGAGACCAGCAAGGACATGAAAAGAGAGCACTGATCCCAAGCAAAGCCACCAACCTTTTAGATGAGAGAAGTCCACACAAGGAATTGTTAGGCAGGAAGTGGGGACAAGCAGTTTATAGCTCAATATTGAAACCCTATCAACTCATGAATGCAGTAACTATCATCAAACGAGGTTTCTTCTGCTTATGTTCTGCAGCAGCAGCAGAACCTGAACTATAAGCGACAGATACGGAGGCAGAAGAGTTACTCTAGAGCTATAAATAGGAAAAACTGCGAGATTTCCATTGTGCTCAGGCCACAAAACAGCTTTTGAAATTTGAATTCGCAGTTGTTCTGATTTTATGATTACAATGTCCCTAGTGGAAAAAGGGAAGCGAGCAGCAGACCAAATACCACTTGCTTGCCCAGAGACCTTCCCCCACGAAAGGATGCTTTCTAAGAGCTCCAAGAGGGTAGCATGCCCCCGATGGCACCTCTGTGTGCCTGGTGGGATCTAAAGGTGGAGAAAAAGAATCAGAATTTGGCTGTAGAGAGTAATGTCCATAACGGACTGGTCAGTGCTTAGACCAAAAATAATCTTGGGGTGATGTAGGGGGTCTGACGCTTTGGTTTGAAAGCACAGAGCAGTTTTGCCACATTTTTCCTGTGCCTACCATCCTCCCAGCCTCAACTTCTACAAGATGAGGGAAAAAAAGAGAAGAAAAAAGGGGTGGGGGGAGGGTGTCAAAGCTCTTACATGCATATAATTACAGCTTTATATTGACAACCTACCTGTACGTGGAACATTTCAACCATACTTTCAAAACCCCTCAGAAACCATCCCTTCTCTCTCCCTGAAGAATTTAAAAAAAGGTGGGGGGGGATCCACACACACTCAAGTATTTAGATAATTTGGTCTTACAAATTGGCACTCTGAGGCCTCAGCCAAAGAATGCAGTGGAGGCTTCCCCCTTTAACACTGAAAAAAGGAAGAAAAAAAAAGTTCCACACTGGATTTGGAAGGTTTCTGGGGCTGTCTGATCTCCCTGTCCTGTTACAGTGAACACAAGAGCAGAAAATACTGGCCCAGTGTAATAGTATTACTATGAAGGGGACACACTCACCTACCTTCAGATGGAGGAAAAGTGAAAGGACTTAAGCTTTAGTCCTCTGTAACCTTTCTGAAGCACTACCTACCTGTAAAAAGCTGAGTGCAAAAGGATGCCGAGGAAATTTTGCATCCAGAAGCTGTTACAAAGCACTGCAGAGAACAGGGCGTGAAGAAAAGAAAAGCTCTTAACGAACCCTGAAGATTCCTTGTTCAAGATAACTGGCCAAAACGGCTGAGTAGCTGATAAAGCCTTGCTTTCATTCTAGCGCTACAAATACTGACATTAAAAAATAAAATTTGCCCATTTTGAGTATATTGTTTATAATTAAAGGTGCTTTTTACACTGCAGATGAATGCATGGACAAGTGGTTAATAAAGCAAACTTCCAGTGAGCATTTATGTTCATTCTGCTCACAGCAGCTGTCTGGCTGAAAAATGAACTTCACAGATGGTCCCTGGTTATATACAGGGTTAGAAAAATAGGTAGCTTCCACCCAGATGTTGAGATGCTAGTTTAACCAATGCAATAAACACTTGTGGTTTTTAATTTAAAACATAACTTAAAAAACTCAGACTCAGCAATTCAATTTCTAACCTGACACTAAAATGGTTATTTTTCAGTAAATTGGGGTGGGGGGAGGAGTAAAGGGAGACAAACCAACTGGGAATTTTTTTAAATTGCCAAATGTACTTAATAAGCAATCAGCCAAAGTGACAATGACAAAAGCACCATCTTAAAAAAAAAATCATCAGGCCTGAGGAACCCTTTTCCAATTTGAGAAGCATACAGCATTATGGAAAATGTGTGCAGGGAAATCCCTCTTGGTTTTCTAACCCAGCAACGAAAGCAATTAAAAGCACAGATGCCACCTTCTTCTGCAGACCAATTCAGCCCTCCAACCCCCCTCCCACCCTGCCCCCAAACTCAGGACAACAAAAAATGGGCTCCCACAAAAGGGCCTAATACCTTATTTTTTCTTTTAAGATGAAAAATATCAGCTCAAATATCCTCAACATGCAAGAAGCTGGGAAAAATCTCTTCCAGTCAGATATATATATATATATATGTGTGTGTGTGTGTATATTTCTTTTACAAAATCTGTTATTACAGACTGGATCATTTTGGCAGACAGAAGAAACCTGGCAGTGAATTCTAACTAATCTGCATGAACGACAATCACAATGGTTGGGGAAAAATAAAAAAGAAAAGGGGGAGAGGAGGGGGAAAAAAAAGGACAGCATTCCTTTAAATGTAGTAAGTCTGCACAAGTCACTACCAATCGATGGTTTCATTTACGTGAAGGAGGAGGGGGAGGAGGAGGAGGGGGATACTGGTAGGCAGTCTGCCCCATGTAACCTATCATATTGGTAGCTCCTGGAGGCTGTGCAAACTGTTGTGACATCAGTGGCTGTGGCTGCTGCCCAGAACGGCCTATCCCACTAAACTGCTGGCTAGAGCTCTGTGAACTTCTCCCAGTTGTGGTGGTGGTGCTAGCCCCGTAAGTGCCAGCACCATATTCTTGGGCTGTATAGCCACTGGTGCCATAAGCAGCTGCCCCATAGGTGCCTTGACCATAGGTATATTGGCCTGCTTGTGCTCCAAAGGCGGAATTTGGACTTCCATAGCTACTGCCATTCGCATAACCAGCTCTATCGGTCTCACTCCGATCCCGATAGCTTGCAGAGTCTCTCCGGCTACCATCCTTGACTCCTCGAAGCCTCCGGTCACACTCATCTTGATACATCAGATTGGGATTGTTGGCTGAAGAAGTGGTCCGGTATCGAGAACGACCTCCTGATAGGAAAATACATGGAGTTTTTAGTGCCAAATCCATGATTCAAACATAACTGCATGTAAAAACTCTACCAGGTATAAAAGTATTCAGTATTCTTTCCTGACCTTTAGCCAAGCCAACCTCCAAATCAGTGCTGTAAACATAAATCCGTAATGTGGTTCTTTAACTGGGCATATCCAAAGGTGGTAAACACTGAAGAATATACGCTCAATTGTTCAGAACTTAACTTCTCACCCTGTTAGGCCCTTTCTTGAGGATAGCAAAAAAACTCACAATCTTAGAAATTTAAGATGGTAAAGAGGTTTAGGTGACTTACCTTAGTTAGAAGTAAAGACAAGCAGCCAAGTTCATACCACCATGAATAAGTTCCCTACTAGCACACAGTGGTTCTCAAATGTTGCTTTATGGGCCTAGCTCCATCAGATCATCTCACAAGCTTTACAAAAACTACAAGCTGCTAGCTCCATTGTGAACTCACTAAATCCATATTTTTACAACCTCTCTGGTGATTCTGATGTGCAGTATCAACGGGCAAGTGGGGGGTGGGGGGTGGGGTGGAACTACTACCAAACCAGGAGGCTCAGATTTTAACATATTTTGTAACTGTGCAGTTTTCAGGTCAACCGCCAATGCCCCAGGTTCTACTACCATAAAATGGTGTAAAGTTACTGCCTGCTCTCTCCGTATGAAAAATTTAAGAATACTAAGCCTTCTGAAGGTATTAAAAGCAACTACAATTCAGCTTAATTGTGAACACACACTATGGACTCAAAGGTCAATGTATATTATCTACGGAAGTATTGTACTGCAAAAGACAGACAATACTACGAGCCCCCAAACTTTACATTTTCTTATTTAGAAGAGGTTGTATCTTGGCAGTACCTGGAAAACTCCAGGACTTACCCTTACCCCCTCCTCCGCCTCCTCCTCTGTGGTCCACCAGTTGCATCAGTTTGGGATTGATAGCCTGATTTGCCTCTTCCAGCACCTTGATCAGCTCTCTGGCCTGCTTTAGGTTCCCTGGGGTGAAGAAGGTATAGGCGGTGCCCTTGTTGGTGCTACGGGCCGTTCGGCCAATGCGGTGCACATAATCTTCCGAGCTGTTTGGATAGTCATAGTTGATCACAAACTTGACATCTTCCACATCTTCAAAGCCAATGATGAGTCAGTATATAGGTTGATGTGGCAGAGAAAGAGAAGGTAAAGGATATGCCAACGACAGGTGGGAAGCACGAATGCAGATGACAGCAAGAGGAAAGAAGATCAAGTTAGTAACCGTTCTGAACAGAAACAAAAAAAGACTCATCCCAACAGAGTACAAGAGGATTAGTGATTCTTGGGACATGGACAAGTTGTGGCATCTTTATCAGCTATAAAACCCTACGGTGATTCCATCCAACCATCCAAACTCCTGCCTCTTCTGTACTATAACCAATGTGCTGACAGGAATTGTACCAAGATTGGTCTTCAGACTGGCAAATTCCAGTTCCAACCTTTCAAAACTGGAATGTAAAAGAAAGTGGCACCACTGATAAGTTACAAGGCCAAATCACTTCTACTCTGTTGGGAGAAGCCTGGCAAAATCTATCAGTAATATAATAAACTTACCTTTAAACCAATCACAGAGCAAAATGAAAACAGCTTCATATACTTTATCACTACATTTTGAAGGAGACTTTTAAAAACATTAACTTTTTGCTGTCTTTTTAAAAACTCTGATCAGAGCCAAAGATAAGCACACACCTATTTTCCTGTGCTGAAACATCCAAATTATCTTTCCCCTTTCAGTTACCTCAGAAGCACATTACACTAAAATTTCACTGTACTACCAAGCCCAGCTTCTGCCAAATGAGGTTTTTGCTTAACTCAAGGTTACTTCAACTTAGTACTTGCTTCAATTATCAAATGTTGTCTACATGACCTGGGAAATTAAATAAAATAAGCCAGAGTGTGGGAGAACCATGAAACCTTGAGACACAAGTTTAATATTCTGTCCACTGCTGGGAATTGGATTGAATAGCCTCCTAATGCTTAAAGTATGTAAATGTTAGTGTAATGCTTTCAGCTAAATGTATTATTTTTACCTCCTTAAACAAATAAATTTAAGACTATAACAGAAAGAATCCTAATGTTTTGTGGAAAAAAAATCTGCATTTTACAAAGAATATTCAGAAAATATCCTAGATAAAACACAGATTTTTGTGATATAAATAATTAAAAAACATTCTCTGTTTGTTACCAGACCGATGCACACTCCCTCCTCCTTTGGGAAACCGCTGCAGCCGATCCCGTCTCTTTGCCTTTTATTTTTGGCGGCCTCCTTTCGAAAACTCCGCCTTCTGACACGGGACCACTGGAGCGCGGGGAGCATGCATCAAGGGTCCGTGGCAGTGAGAAGTCCCCACACACGCTCGCTCTGTGAACTGGCTTAGATGCTTCTCTGTAGCCCCATTTGGTTGCCAAGCGCCGGAGAACCTGGGTTCGGGTAAAAATTTCAGGTCCTCCAACGCCTCCCCCAAGGATAATTGGGGTGATTGTAGAAAAAAATAATTAATAAAAAAATGTAAGTTACATCCAAAGGGTCAGACTGCATCTATTGCCCAGACTGGATTAATTTCAGGGGAAAGGGGAGATGATTGGGAAAAAAAAAAAAAAATCAGCTATTGTTAAAGGGCCTGTGAAGAAAGGGGCATTATGTCTGTTTCTTATTACAATAAAGGCTCCTCAGTCTTTACTGACCCCTAAAGTCCTGAATCACACCAGAAAGACGAGAAGGCAGTTATCACAGGGGGCAGCGTGAGTCTCCGGCTAGGGGCGTTGATGCAACAAAGAAAAAAAGCTTACCGAGCAAGGAGGGATGTACAATGGGGGTGGGGTGGGGTGGGGAACTATGCCCTAAGGCCACATCTTCAGAGCTAGGACAGTGCCCCTGAAGTCAATCCCATTGTGTATGACCATGAGCAGCAGAGCAAGCTGACTTACTGTACTGGATATACGAAGTATGCTTCTCTAGCAGAAAGCACTGGGGACTGGAGTCGGCAGTTCCGATACTACTATCTGGGAGTATTCTTGGAGGGGCTCAATAGGGAGCAGACAGGGTGCAAGTTCTTCGTACTAGACAGGTATCCTGTGTGCACATACACAACTGGGCTGAGGGCATATAAGAGCAAGCGCAGAATTTGGTTTTCTCCAGTCTAGCTTGCCCTGCCACAATTTTATCTCTTTGCCTTTAGAGAAGATGCTGTAGCAGAGTAAGAAACTGCAAAGTTAACACTGTGGCCAGCTGCCTGGGATAACCTGTTGTCTGTCATCAAAAAGCCCTATGACATGGCCTCAATCTCCAATCACTAACTGAGAGGGACGACTAAGACTAGCCAACAGGCTCATCTAGAGCTGCTTCGGGCCAATGTAGATTTGCCTCGGCCATGTATTGAGTGATCTGCAGCTGATATCAAAGCTTCTGTTAAAAAACAAAACAAAAAAAATAAATTCAGTACTTTTAGTTTAACACTGTAATTTAAATTAAAAAAAAAAAAAAAGGAAAAATATCTCAGCGGAAACGGAGTAGTGGTTTCCTGAGGATGTTTTTAATAAAATTATGGGAATCAAAGAACTTACCTGAAGGGAACATTTAAGAGGTCATCGCTTGACAGGAAGTGAAAAAAGGCCTGGTGACTCAGCTAAAAATTGCACCCCTGTCTATGAGGTAGAAGCCTTCACTTTCCAGTATCTTGTAGGACCTTGGTCAGAATTCTGCCATTTTGTGGGTTTTCCCCCTCCTTTTGATTTTTACAAGGCAGCAAACAAAGGGGCCCAAAACAAGCACTAATGTTGAGTAACAAGAAACAGACTCAGGAACCTTCCCTCTCCCCTCATTTGGATGAGTGGGGGTCGGATGAAGAGTCTAAGTTATTCTAATGGTAGCCAATTGATTTGGTTTAGGAATGCAGGGGGACATGGAGCAAGTATATTTTAATCGTCTAGGCAAGATGCACAAAGAAGCTACCAGCACATAGCAAGCCTGTTTAAAACCATTACTGAAAGCTTTTATGTAAACTTGCTTTCAGGCCTCAGCCCCTTCTCCCAACAGGCCCAAGTTCTAACCGCACAGATCCAGACATGACCTCTGAGGGCAGAGACAATTTTCAGTCATGGCTACAGGTCACCACCTCTGAAGGAAGGAATGATGAGTGCAATGTATAAGAAGGCTTCTTCACTCTTCTAATTCCAGTTTGAACACCTGTCCTTTTTATGTTAAATATTATAAGGCAATATGGTACTTCTCACCTCACTGGGCAAGAAACTAAATGCCTGTCAATAATTTTAAAATTTCCTTGTGATAGAAATAACTTAATTTTAAATATAAAAGTTTTAGTTTAGCCTTGTTTAGCTCAGAATGGGCTAAATAAAGTACTTTAAAATATCTGCATACATCTTCAATTATAATAAGTAGAAAACTACAGAAAATCATCATATTCAAATTAAATTCTTAAATTGGAAGTCAACACAATTATGACACAAGTGTGGGTGGGAAGGGATAACTGAGTGCCCGTGATAATTTTACTTCAGGATATAAAACTGGGCACTGTAGATCTAACTGCTGAATGATATCATACTATAGACTCAGTAAATTATAAGGATGTATTACGTTAGCATTCATGGTACTGAGACCTCCACATATGCCTGGCATAAACAGATTGGAATATGAAAAATAGTAATTAAAGAAACTAGCTCACAATAGCTAGGTTAAACCAGACTCATTCTATCCAGCCAGAAAACAGAACAAAACTAAGAAGTTGAACTATTCAACTGAATGTCTCCTCTCCCTCTGTCTATCTGAAAAGTCATGCCTAGGCCTTTCTGCAGACCAAAGCCTGTTTGTCAGGAGCAGGAAGAGACTTTGAAAATTTAAAAAAAGGGGGGAAAAAATCAAGGTTAAAAAAAAAAAAATCGTGAGGGAAAACCACACTTCGTATTGTTGTCTTTAAGTATTTATCTAAGAACACATATATCCAACTCTCATTTGAAACGTCAAACAAATTTTTAAACCAAAAGATACATATACCATTAACAGAGACACCTATCTATACAAACCTAGCCCTCGGGAGGCTACATCTGTGGCAATGAGGATGGGAGCCTTTCCAGAACGGAACTCTGCAATGCAAAACAAGAATGGCACCATCAAATCCAAGTTACCCAATCAAGGCTGAGTGACAAGTATTAAAATATAACCAAATAAGCATTTCTAACTGTCTGGCCTTTTTACCTGATCATGTTAAAATTTCAAGTAATGGTCTCAGAAAATGCAAAATCCTTTTACAACTAGGAATGTTTAAAAAATATTATACTCACCTTTAGCAGAGTGGCAATAGACAAAAAGTTACCTCTACTAATAAAGTATATTTGAAATGGAGTAGCAATTTTTAACAAAATTAACATGAATTAGATTTTTTTTTCTCTTAAATGGTAACACTGAAGTTATCTCCCAAAGTAAACAACTGAAACCAAAAGTTGGAGGGAGGGAGAGGCAAGTTTAAGCAATATGGAACAAAAGAAGAAACAGTATTTTTCTCAAAATGAATACATATTATTTCTTACATACAGTCTCTTCCATTTCACTCAATGGACTTTCCCTTAAAACTAGTCGTGAACAACAACAAAAGAGCTAGAAGAAACGCTAAAACATAACTTGATGATCACGGGGCTTTTTCCTTTAAACATTTCAGGAACAGTCAAATATTCCACAAAGGTAGTTGCTTTTATGCTGAAAACAGGTGGTGGGCTTTTTATTAAAAACAAGAACTTACTAAATGAAGACGGGATGGTGGAAGTTGTGAAAATGTGTACAGATAACTTTACATAAAGAAGACATCGTAGACCTTAAAGGACTATAAAGACATGCCCGAAGTGTGTAATTCTCAATCAGCTAGAGCAGGAGATAGGCAAACTACGGCCTCTGGGCCAAATCTGGCACAATGCCTATTTTTGCAAATCAAGTTTTACTGAAACACAGCCAGGCCATTCCTTTACATACTGTCTATGGCTGCTTTTGTGCTGCAACAGCAGAGCTGAATACCTGCAACAGAGACCACCACAGGAACGCAAAGCTGAAAATATTTACTATCTGGCTCTTGATCCCTGAAATAGAACATGAACATTTAGAAAAAAATCCATTGAAAATGCTTAGTTCTGAACTCACCATTGAGTACCCAATCTCTTTCTGGTTGACTCTTGTCTCCATGGATACACATAGCTGGCCAACTGTCAGAAGAAAAGTGACCAATATTTCAGAAAGCTTAAAAAGTAAGAAAAACTAAGCTTTAAACAGAAGTGCTATCATATATTATTTTGGTAAGGTTTGTTAGGCTACATGAACAGGCAGCTGTGTTCACTTGAAAAGCAAACTGCATGTTAGGCATCACTGAAATATTATAAAAAATTCACAATACTAATTAAAAAATCCCTACTAAGCTATCAAATTCGAGGTCAGTTAAAATTAGCCTGGTCCTGCACTCACCCATCTCTGCGCATTCTTCGAGTGAGGTCATCACAGCGTCTCTTGGTCTCCACAAATATAATTGTCTTATTTTCCTTTTCGGCCATTATTTCCTCCATGAGTTGGATCAATCTGAAAGTAAGATCAACAATAACGTACGTGTAAAAAAGTCCTCTCCATTATGTGGGAGATATGCCGGAAAAAAACCTGTCAAAACCATAGCATTTTCTTTTCACATTCTTATTTTAATAAACATACATACAGCACTATGAACCAGACACTCCTCTGTATTCTTAATAACTCATATCATCCTCACAGCAAGCCTGATTATCCCCATTTGACAGATGAAGCACCTGAGGCACCAAGAGGTACCCACACACCGCCGCTGTCGATTCTGACTCATAGCGATCCTGTAAGAACAGAGTAGAACTGTCCCATAGGGTTTCCAAGGCTGTACATCTTTATAGAAGCAGACTGCCACATCTTTCTCCCACGGAGCGGGTGGTGGGTTCAAACTGCCGACCTTTTGGTTAACAGCCAAGGGCTTAAGCACTGCACGGCAGGCCTCCTAACAAGAGGTACCTGTTTGCCGTTGAGTCAATTACGATGTACATCGACCCAAAAGGACAGAGCAGAACTGCCCCACAGGGTTTCCAAGGAGCAGCTGGTGGATTCGAACTGCAAGCTTTTCAGTTAGCAGCTGAGCTCTTAATCACTGCACCACCAGGGCTCCTATCAAGAGGTAACCCACCCAAAATTATACAGCTGATTAGCAGAGCTAGGATTCAAATCCAAGGATACAGAGTCCTTGCCTTTAACTACAATGCTCTGTTCACTGATATAAAGGGTGGATTGTTGGAAAGTTAACAAAGCTTTCAGTATGTTTTTGGACCTCAAAAGATACTGGCTGACACTTTAAGTTCAAAGGATTATATGGATTTATTAAATTAACAAAATACAGCGAAATCTCTTTCATACTTGTGGTCTTTTTCACTTTCCATGCAGACATCCACAATCTGGAGGATGTTGTGGTTGGCACTCAGCTCCAGATTGCCCACATTGATCTGAGTGTAATCACGAAGAAAATCCTCAGCAAGCTGTCTTACTTCTTTTGGCCAGGTTGCACTCCACATCAAGGTCTGTCTATCAGGCTATCAAGAAAGGAAATGCTTTCTTTAGGCTATGAAACTGCCACAGGCAAGGGACATCTAACGAAGTATCAGCTTTACATACCCTGATTTGGTCAACAATTTTACGGATTTGGGGTTCAAAGCCCATATCAAGCATTCTGTCTGCCTCATCCAATACAAGGTAAGTACATCGGCGAAGATTTGTCTTTCCTGACTCCAGGAAATCTATCAGGCGTCCGGGAGTGGCTATGCAAATCTCAACACCTGTGAAGGAAAATAAATAAATAAATAAAGGGCTAGCCAGTTAAGAACTCCTCTTTACACACTGTCCAAGCCTCAGCAAACTAAGCAGCAGCAGCTCAGATGAACTCGAGACTGCAGAGAAGTAGCTAAATTTTAACACAGTACTTTCAAAAACATGATGGAAGGAAAATTGAGGTATGATCACCAAATCTTTACGAAGTCCCTAACCATAACTTTCTTTCTCCAAATAGCTATTATAACCGTATCTAAGACTTTCTAAGCTGCTGAAATATTCTACTTCTCCCCATACGAACCCACTCTTTTCCTCTTCAATTTGACTCAGAAATTGGTAAAGCGAGATAAACTAAAAAAACTGATATACTAAAATATCCCTTCATTACCTCTCTCCAAGTCTCGAATCTGGGGACCTTTAGGAGCACCTCCATAAATGCAAGTACTCTTCAATCTAGAACATTTGCCATAGTCATCAGCCACCTGTTGTACTTGCTGGGCAAGCTCTCTGGTAGGAGCCAGAACCAGACACTGAAATAAAACAAATACTTCAGACACTCATCCCAAGTAAAACAAAACAAAAAATCACAATACAAAAAAGTAGTATTCTTTCTCTATTGTCTAACCTGGCACTCTGTGACAGGGTGGGTGACTAGGGGGCAGGGAGTATAACAGAGTCCACTGGAGTGTGGGAAGAAAATATTAGAACTTAAGTGCCCTGTGGATCTCAAAAGTCAGATTGGCAATATACATTCTTTGTGATTAAATAACACTTAAGTAATATTTATTACTTAAATGATACAGGCACCCTCACTTGGTTTACTTTTGACACTTTATGATGTACTACAGTTTATGTGAGCTACTTAGATGGATTTACAGATTTTATTACCTAATTTTAAACTATACAACTCTCACAAAATAAACAAGGGGCGATAAATATTTATGCAACAAAACCATAGATTAGACATTAGTAAGAAACACATGAACGAGAAAATGGCTGAGCTGACACTTTACTTCTAGTTTAAGCTCTCTGCCAGGCAGATTATACAAAAACAACAATGACTTATATATAATCTGACAAGTAGTAGGCCAAAACACCACAAAATCAGGGATCTTTGAAAAATGTATCATATATACCAATAAAGCACAATGAATCTGCTTGGTATACTAGCCATCAGATATTAGCGATGTATTAAAAAGTAATGCATTATTTCCTTTTTTGAATATTGAGACATACTATAATACTGTATGTAAAATTTATAAACATATACAGTAACTGTAAGCTCAATTAAAAAAAAAAAACAGGTAAAAGTACACTTTCAAAAGGTTCATACTACTACTCAAATTTTACAGAAAATACATTAAGTGAAAATTATCAAATCAGAAAATTTACGAAAGTATTATTTAATCACAAATATATATCCCCAAACTGACTTTGAGATCCGTAAGGCAGGGATCTTACCTCATACCTCTTTTATGTTCCTAACAGTCTCTAAACACAGCCAACAATTAAGTACTGCACTTGGATTTAGTGCACAGTAAATGTCTACATATGAAGACAGTACACACAGTGATCAGACTTTAGTTTGAATTCAAGTTCAGCCATTTACTGGTAATAGCTGTAGTGACCCTGCGCAAGTCATTTAAATGCACTGTACCTCAGATTTTGTATCAGTAAGGTGGGGATTAATACGACTTCCAGTCATGGGGTTGGGTTGAGAATAAAATTACACAGTTTATGTAAAAACAGTGTGTGAAACATACTAATTATTAAATTGTAGTTAGAATTCTAAGCAAATTGAAACACACTTACGATTGGGCCATCTCCCCTTTCCAAGTATGGCTGATGGTTAATATGAACAATTGCAGGCAGCAAATACTGGGGGGAACAAGAATGACATGCTTATTATCCCAAAACTAAGCCATTATCTTAACAGTTCTAACTTATCACCCGCTGCTGTCAAGTCGATACTGACTCACAGTGACCCTATAGGACAGGGAGAATTGCCTCATAGGGTTTCCAAGCAGTGGCTGGTAGATTCGAACTGCCAACCTTTTGGTTAGCAGCCAAGCTCTTAACCACTGTGCCACCAGGGCTCCATAAAAAACAAACCTGTAGCTCTTGAGCTCATTCTGACTCAGCAACCCTACAGGATGGAGAAGAACTGCCCCATAGGGGTTTCGAGGAGTAGCCGGTGGATTCAAACTGCTGACCTCTTGGGTCAGCAGCCAAGCTCTTAACCACTGTGCCACCAGGGCTCCTCTAAACTTATCACAGTAATTGATAATGCCTAAATAGGAAAACGACTAACAGAACTCACCACTGCCACACATATGAACAACATAAATTTGAACATTAAATACTTCCATGTTCTTCAGATAGCTAAAAGAGCCGGTGTATCACCAACACACTATCTGAATTATAATTTTATAAAGAATGGAGAATAAATGTGATAACTAGAATAGCAAAATAAGTTACCACAAGGTGGTACATACTGCCAATGTCTTCCCCGAGCCAGTCTGAGCAATGCCCACCATATCCCGGCCACTAAGAGCCAAAGGAAACCCCTGGCACTGAATCGGAGTTGGTTCTGTAAAGTGCTGATCCATCAACACATCCATTACATATTCTGTAAGAAAGAATAAACACAGTATTGCTTTTAAATGAAACTAAGAACACACGTTTAAAAACATCTAGTCTCAACGAAGGCAAGATTTACTCAGTTTTTACATCTCTCCAAGAAGTTTTTCTTTACTCAATCTTCTGACCAGCTCACTACCATAGTCATCTACCCTCTCCCTCAAAAAATTCAGAACTACCGCCTAAAGCATCTAATACAGTATGGAAACAGAGTAGTTACTTATTGTTTGCCAAATTCAATGATATACAGCTTAGAACGCAATCTCATTCTGCAGTTTTCTAAAAGGCAGAGGCAAAACCCTAGTGGAAGATGAGAAACCCTCAAAAAAGAAAGAACGCCCTCAGTTTAAATCGAGAACAGATGAGCACTAAAAAACCTCTTATGACCTAAGTTTACTAGTGCTTACCAGGGGCAGGACGGAGGGAAGGGGTAAGGAAGACACAACACTCGGGGGACACTAAACTTCTGTTAAGGGTGATTGAAAAATTCAGAAATGGTTAATGGTGATGGTTGAACAACATGATGAACTTAAATATTTAACGTCACTTAACTATACACGTGAAGATTGTTAAAATGGCAAACGTTGCTACCTATACATTTACCATAAAAAATAATAATAAAAAAAAACCCTGTTAACAACAAAAAAAACTCTTATGCAACTGATAGGGTATTTACCTCTAGTGTTAAATTTTGAGGAATTAAAAAAAAAAACAAAAAAAAACAATACAGGTAGTCCCCGACTTATGATGGGGTTCCGTTCTGACTCCGTAAAAAGTTGGTTCTGATGTTAAGTTGAATACTTCATTTAAAAAAAAATTATTGTCTTTTAATTAATATCAGCATCTTTTTAAATCCAATCTTTTGCCTTTGCAAGTTGGAAACATTACATAGAAACTTACAGGTATATTTTAATACATACATACATTAAAAAAAACATAAATCATAAAAAAAAATGGACAGCTGTAAATGCGGTTCATCATAACTTAAATACTGTGTAAGTTGGGGACTAACTGTATTACCTCTGTGAAAAGTTCCTACTTGTCTTTTCAACAAAACCCTGAGCCTGGGTCAGACCTTTTAAATAACCTATTACCATGTTTACCTTTCAACCAAAATCAACAATTAAAATCCTGGATTAAAGAACACTTACGTGGGAAGTTAGCATGATGGAAAGCAAACACAGGTTTAGGACAAACATCTCCCCCTCTCACTGTAATCTCCTTCTTTCTGCGTAGTTCATCAACCTCATACTATGGAAGAAAACGAAGTAAAACAAGTTAGCAAACAAGTTATTCTGAAAATGCAGACGTTTAGACTTCAACCTAGCTGGACAACCACCATTCAATTCACAAATGAGAATGGAAAATAAGTATTTAAAACTTCATATAGTGCTTCCATTTAATTTCATTTAATCCTCACAACTTTGTGAGTTAGTGATGCAAGTGACATAAGTTCCTTTTTCCACATGAGAAAATAGATACTCAGAAAGGCTAAGTTACTTGGCCCAAGGTCAGAACTAGGAAGAGGAAGAAAACATGGACCGTGTGCCCATGTTCTATTAGACTTTCTTCTGAACAAGTAACTATTCCATGGGTAGACTCCAGAACAATCATAATGAGGTAAGCAAGTACAAATAGGAGCACACAATGCCAATATAATAAATTTATACACTTAAAATTATATATGACAAACAGGTTGGGACGCATAATTAACAAATAAGGACGAAGTATTCTATCAGGTGCATATTCAAACTGGTTCCTCTTATGAGTATCAGCAGTCTTAATAAGAAACTAAGAAAAGTACCACTGCGCTGGAATAAAACATCTAACAGCAGCAGTATATGAGTAAACTCCAGCCAATATATCCACTAGGTTCCCTGTGTATAAAAACCACCAAAAAAAAAAAAAAAAAAAACTTACCGGAGTCAGCCTCGCCACTTCTGGATGTTCCACATAAAAATTCTTCTCAAATTTGGGGAGCTCACTCAAATCCCACTTCTTTTTACGTAAACGCTCCCCAGGATTACCAAATTTCTTCGGGGGAAGACCACTACCACCTCTTGCTCCAAATCTACAGAAGTATCAAAATTTTTGGTTTATTAGGATTTTAAAAGCAATATACCTTAGGTACCATAAAATATGCAAAAGACAGGACTCCTACAATGTGACCAGCCTCCCTCCAAAAAGAGTATTCTATTACACTTATTTGAAAGTGTGGAGAGAAATTGTGAAACAACTTCCTCTTGTTTCCAATCAATAGTTATGAATACAGGTTACAATAGATGAAAAATTAAAAATGCTTATATTTAGAAAAATAGATTATCATAAGGATCATGATCCTGGAACAAGACTGGTTTGAATTCTGGCTCTGCAACTTACTGTATGATTTTAAGCAAATTATTTAACTTCTCTGTGCCTCAACTTCCTCTAATTACTGTGTAAAGTGCTTAAAACAGTGCCTGGCAAAGCAAACACTCAGTATAAGTGAGTACAATTGTACTCATTCATTCAACAAACAGTTACTGGATACCAACTATGTACTAAGTACCGTTTTAAGTGGTGCTGGAGATACTGACATGAATAAAACAGAGAGAAGTCTTTACCCTTGTATAATATTCAGGACATGTAGAGAAAGCACACGGGCTTATCTCTAAACTATCCAAAAGGGTGGGCAAAGGAGGACACATATGCTTAAATTAAACTCAAGATTGTGGACTGATAAAAATATACTTCACACAAGTTGCCCCAAACTTGGAACAACACCTTCTTGACCCTTCCCCTTTGGTGCCATGATGAGCACTCCTACTCGCTAGTCTAAGGAAATCTGCTAGAAACTGTAAAAGACTTGTGGGACGGTTTTCACTAAAGGTGAAAGTTTATGCTAATGGAACAAGAGCCAGAAGAAAGATTTATGACCTTTGCGCCCTTATCTCCACCTTTATCTTGTACCTCTCTTCTTGGTTCCTAGGCACATGGTGTTATTAACTTAACTACTAATCCACAGAAGAAACCATTACTAACCCTTATTATTTAGGATATACAAAAGTAAAACTCAACAGATTATTTAATATCAAATTCTTCTCACTTTACATACTTTTCCCAAGTTCACCTGGAATACAAATGTAGCCAAACCCGAAACGCAAGAAATTAAAAGCTACTCTTCTAGAACCCTAACGTTAAAATGACTTTCATTGCCATATTTCAAACCTATGTAAAGTGTGAGTCATTGTTTGGTATACAAATAGTATACAGTATTTCTTCATGCCATTTCCTTACTCCTTGTAAAATACTACACTGACTCTGAATTTTCCTTTTCATGTCTAACCCACTCAGACAGCCTCAAGTGATAAAAAGAAATTATCTGAAAAGAAAAAATAACTATGGATGAGCCTCAATTCCCTTGCAATTCAAAGCATTAGAACTCTTCAAAGACCCAGCTAGACATTTCCCTAAATACACACAAAAAACTGAAACTGTATTTGGGACCACTGGCACACAAAAGGCACAACTTGGCTGATTCTTACTACTGCTGAACCAGTAAGAAAAACCAGAAAAGGAAAATAAGAATCAAAACAAAAAAAAGCATGTAACATACAGATACACATATCAAACGGGAGAAAAAAAATCAAAGACATCTCTAATATGCCCTCAGGTTAAGACTCAATGCTAAGAGACCACTCACCACCCTGGCTGATCCCCTTCTTCTCCTCCACTTGTAAACGAGGCAGCTAGCACAATTTTAAATAAGAAACTCATCGTGAAACAGAAAGCCAAGTCTTTACATTGTCACTGTCATGCGAAGAAAATAAAAATGACCAAGATCAATTTTCAGAGATTCTGTCAGTCTAGTTTATATAAATCTATGTGTTTCCTAGAAGGTGCCATTTCAATGCTGCTTTCCAGCTCAGACCTTAAACTAACAATTTAGAAAAAAAAAAAACAACTTTTGAAAGAAGTTCCTTTTAAAGTTTATCCTAAGCAGCCATTTCTTAAGGGAGTGACAAAAAGGGTATTTTCCCCTTTCTCCCTATTGCCGATTATTTTTCCAAGGCGTACTATTCTATACTCAAAGCAAAATTTGAAAGGGGGAAAAAAAAGGGCTGTCTTCTATGTTTATAATTAATTTTTACCTCAAAATGAAAGAAAACCTTTTATCCTCGTAGAACTGAGCCTATACGTGCCATCCTTTAAATATGAACATAACCTAATCCCTGGTACACTACACTGCTCATTAAATGTTTTTTATTGAATCATAAAGGAAAATTTGTGAAGAAGGTAGTTAGGGCACAGACCTTACAGAAGAGTGCCATTGTTTGAAAGTAATAATTTTAAGGCTTAAAAAAAAAAATCATCTGATACTCAGAAGAGTCAACATGGGATAAACTAAGTATGAATCACTATCCACACTCGTTTTTTTCTTTTCAAATAATTTATTTTTATCACTTAAAGCATATATACAACATACTATTAAACACCCGTGGTAAAAAAACACTACCAGTACTGTGGTGGCCTCTATGTGCCTATTTCAAGTTTACTACTCCACCATAACAACTACCTTGAATTCTGCTAATCACTCCCTTGCTCTTTAGTTTTACCATATTGGTACATACCCTCAACAAGCTATCCTTCTACCACGACTTGATTTTTGATACAATATTATGTTTATGAGTGATCCATGTTGTTGCAAGGTTATTCCTTTTAGCTACTGTATTGTATTCTATTGTACCAATACCTACAATTTATCCAGACGTTTCAGTTGCTTATAGTATTTTCCTATCATGGAACAATGCTGTTACTAACATTTTTGTGCATGCATCCTGGGCACGTGTGCAAAGGTTTCTCTAGGTCCTACAGCGTAGGGTTTAAAGCTTGGAGAGGAATTACTCGGTCATTTTCAACTTTACTAGATATAATTCTTTTTACTAAGTGGATGTACTGAAATTCACTTCTACACTTAGCTATACTGTGAACTCTAAGCAAACGTTTCATTTTTAGCCCTCCATTTTTTAACACCAAGACAAAATATTTTCCTTCCTAACAAGCTACAATCAAAAGAATTATGTTTTATTTTGTAAATTAAGCGATAATTGAGGTATTTGTGGCTAGTAAGTCCGGTGCTTGTGTATTTGAGCCACAAAAGACAAAATGTTGGGACAGAATAACATTAACAAAACACCGCAGAGTAAAGACAATTATCATTCCCATCTTTCGATGAGGAAATAAGCTCGGTTGAGGATCTTGCCCAAAGTCATGCATATATTAAGAAATGGTGTCATATTACTCTAAAAAGACACACAACCTGTATAATGAAAACAGCAGTAATACAAATCAACGCATGGATCTCTTAAGGAGCTTTTTCGTTTAACGGACATTAAGATTTGAATCCCAGTCTCTGAAAGGGCTTCAAGTTTGATCCCATGTTAACATCGATCCCAGAAAACCTTGGCATTGGCACTGGAAAAAATTTTTTATAGCTAGGCCTAAAAGTTAATACTGCGGTACAGTCAGCGGGTAAAAAGACCAAGAAGAAAAAAACTAAAACTACAATAACAACCCCCCCGCAAAAAAACTCCCTTCCCAAACACGATCATATACATTTCAAGTAAGTGCATTGTTTTACATTTGAACGTGCTTCCTCCAAAGTGAAAAAGAAAAAAAAAATACTGAAGGTGATTTAAAAACCAGGTTTCCAGCCCCATTAACAGTCATCTATGGTACTACAGAACATACGGGAAGCCATTTCGCGTTAACGTTTTCCCAGGCGGAACTAGGAGACGTCCCCCTCTTCGCTCAGAAACATCCATGTTTCCCGGACGATCGCTGAGGCCTAGAGCGATCAAATGACTCGCCTCAGTCGGCGGGCCTCTAAAGCTGGGTAGCTAGGCTCGGCCCGAGGTCCGGTTGGCGGCGGCCATGCGGACCCCCGGCCCGGCCTCTCACCCCCCTCGGGGCCAGGCCGCGCCAAGACAGCCGTCCGTAAGGAGGGACTGGAACATGGCCAAGCCACCGCCCCTCTGCCAGGTCACGAGTGACCGCGGGGCCGAGGCCCAGGCCCGCCTGCAGGCCCGTGCACTAAACTGCTATCATTGTCCCGCTCTCCTCCCGGACTCAGGAGAGGAGTTGTTAGATCTGCAGTTTCCTCAAAATCTCTGCTAGGCCGAACGTTTCAGCCTCCTCAGGAAACACCCTCCCCCCACCCTACGTACATGCAAGGCCTTTCTTCTCCTCCTCCTCCCCCCTTACCCTCCACGGTCACGATCCCGGTCCCGGTCCCCAAAGCCGCCTCCGCGCATGGTCCCAAATGGATAGAGATCTGGGAGCGGGGCACGGATGGCCGGGCTCGGGAGGGCCTGAGGCTCCGGTCTGGTGACGACCGATGGCGGCGGCGCCTCCGCTGTTGGGGCGGCGGCAGGCGCGGCGCTCTCTCGCTCCGACGCGCTATCTCCCGTCGCAGACGCCACCGTCGCCGCCTCTCTCGTCGGAGACGGGAGCAAAACACAGAGAATTGGGGTTATAAAAACGGTGGGTAGGTTTGGCTACCCTCAAACCCGGCAGTGCCGCAGTTTAAGCGTCTCCTCCCTTCCCAGCGCCTGCACAAAATGGCGGCCGCCGCTGAGACTGCTCCAGCTTAACGCTACGTACGTCGGAGACGATACGTAAACAGCGCCTTGGAATAGCCCGAGGGCTTTTCAGAGTAATACGGCTATTCTTGGAAGCGGTTTACGTTAGTTGCGGAGATGGGCGCATTTTACGGTAGGTAGAAGAAAAACAATGTACGGAGCGGGCGTAGAGTTCTCGCGCCACCTGAACTAGAACGTGGGGTGGGGGGTTGGGCGGGGAAGAGCGACCCGTGCGACGTAACATTCTTTGTGGCGTTAGCCAGCCCACTGTTGCGAAGATGCGCACTATGCGTAACGCATTCTGTTTAGAGAATAGAGGGTTTTGCTGGATTCCAACCCGGGACGGAGTCCAGCGTTGCTTTCAGAGACAATAACTGGTCTCCGTATTGCCGTCATCAATTCCAGGGTCTCCCAGTGTCAAAAGCGTAGGAGGGTCTTAGGGGTCCCTGGTTGGCCCTCCTAGATGGCCCTGCCGACCCCCTCGCCCCGCTGCCCTGGGCCTGCCGAGACAAGCCGCGCGCCCAGGCGCCATTTCCGTTCGGTTGCCTCTCGCTGCGCTGTCTTTGGCAGCCATGATGGATGCGCCTTGTCCCGTCTTTTCAGGGTGGGTCAGGCGGCGACTTGCCAGCCTGTTTAAAGCGCTCTCTTCTCTGCTTGATTCACACTGAAATGCATTTTCTGAACAGAATATTTGCGCTATCCTCAAGTGAGCACAGTTGACGTTGTGCAAACACAGAGGCAGATTGTGGGTGGGGCACCTTCTGAGGTAGACGCTGCTGTCCCATTCCCCGCTATTAAACGGCGCTGCCGCAGGAGGCTGGTGGTAGCCCCTAAGCGCTCTCTGAGAACGTAAGAACGGTGGTCTTCAGACGCAGAAGTGAAAGCATAAGTACATGTTTTTAACCAGGCTAGGCCATGTTGTCCACTCTCACTTCTAAACTGGCTTTCTTCTCCCTACCTTCTTCTTTCCCCTGAAACTGCACTTTAAAGACTTCATAAACTTGGCCAAATGTCGCAGAATTGTCGAGCTGCTAGGACCCTTCGTAACAGCTGCTTAACGTTTTTATTTATTTTCTACAGATGGGGAAAGAGAGGAGATTCAAGGCCCCTCATTGTGGGGGCTGAACGGTGTTCTCCTAAACCAAACCAAACATGTTGCAGTGGAGTCAGTTACGACTTACAGAGACTGTATAGGGCAGAAAATGGTGGCGTAGTGGTTAAGTTTTACGACTGCTAACCGAAAATAAAAAAAAGTCGGCTGTTCGAATCCACCAAGTGCTCCTTGGAAACTCTATGGGGCAGTTCTACTCTGTCCTATATGGTCGCTATGAGTCGGAATCGACAGGACTGCAGCGGGTTGCTTTGTTTTGTTTTAATAGGGCAGAGTAGTACTGCCCCAAAGGGTTTCCAGGGAGTGGCTGGTGGATTCAAACTGCTGATCTTTTGGTTAGCAGCCAGGCCCTTAACCACTGCACCACCAGGGCTCCAGTGTCTCCACCCTGTAGTAAAAGTTGCATAAAGAAGGGAGCTTCATGAAAGGCCTTTTTCTGCCACTGACACAAAGGTATACTCAATCATGGATTCATTGACAAGTATGTCAGGCACTATTTTGGGGGCACGTCAGTGAACAAATTTGTTCTTGTACTCATGGAGTTTACCCTGTAATGTGGGAGACAGACAATAAATGTTTATGCTGTTGTGGTGGTTGCTGTTAGGTGCTGTCAAGTTAATTCGACTCACAGCAAGTCCAGTTAAACAGAATGAAACCTGCGCTAGCCTCATGATCATTGTTATGCTCGAGCCCATTGTTGCAGCAACTGTGTCAGTCCATCTTGTTCAGAAACTCCTTCGCTGACCCTCCATTTTACCAAGCATGATGTCTTTCACCGGGGATTGGTCCTTCCTGATAACATGTCCAAAGTATGTGAGATGAACTCTCGCCATCCTCGCTTTTAAGGAGCATTGTGGCTGTACTTGTATCAAGACAGGTTTGTTCGTTCTTTTGGCAGTACATAGTATATTCAGCATTCTTGGGCAACACCATAATTCAAAGGCATCAATTTTTCCTTGGTCATCCTTATTCATTGCCCAGCTTTTGCATGCATATGAGGCGATTGAAAGCACCATGGCTTGGGTCAGGTGCATGTTAGTCCTTAAACTGACATCTTTGTTTTTAATACTTTAAAGGGGGCTTTGGCAGCAGATTTTTCCAGTGCAATGCGCCACTTGATTTCTTGACTGCTGCTTCCATGAGTGTTGATTGTGGATCCAGGTAAAATGAAATCCTTGACAACCTTAGTCTTTTCTTTGTTTATCATGATGTTGCTTACTGGTCCAGTTGTGAAGATTTTTGTTTTCTTTATGTTAAAGTGTAATCCATACTGAAGGCTGTAGTCTTTGATGTTCATCAGTAAGTGCTTCAAGTCCTCTTTCAGCAAACAAGGTTGTGTCATCTGCATGCTGTAGGTTGTCAATGAGTCTTCCTCCAATCCTGATGCCGCATTCTTCTTCATGTAGTCCTGCTTCTCAGATTATTTGCTCAGCCTGCATATTGAATAAGCATGGTAAGAAGATACAACCATGATGCACACCTTTCCTTAATTTAAACCACACAGTATGCCCTTGTTCTGTTCTAATGACTGCCTCTTCATCTATGTATAGGTTCCTCATGAGCACAATTAAGCATTCTGGAATTTCCGTTCTTCACAATGTTATCCGTAATTTGGTATGATCCACACAGTTGAATGCCTTTGTATAGTCAATAAAACACAGGGAAACATCTTTCTGGTATTCTCTGCTTTCAGCCAAGATCCATCTGACATCAGCAATGATATCCCTCGTTCTACGTCCTCTTCTGAATCTGGCTTGAATTTCTGGCAGTTCCCTGTCAATGTACTGCTGGAACAACTTTTGAATGATCTTCAGCCAAATTTTACTTATGTGTGATATTAATGATATTGTTCGATAATTTCCATATTCAGTTGGATCACCTTTCTTTGGAATGGGCACAAATATGGATCTGGTCTAGTTGGCTGGCCAGGTAGCTGTCTTCTAAATTTCTTGGGATAGACAAGTGAGCACCCCTAGCACTGCATCCGTTTGTTGAAACATCTCAATTGGTATTCAGTCAATTCCTGGAGGCTTGTTTTTCATCAATGCCTTCAGTGCAGTTTGGACTTCTTCCTTCAGTACCATTGATTCTTGATCACGTGCTACCTCCTGAAATGGTTGAATGTCAACCAGTTCTTTTTGATACAGTGACTCTGTGTATTCCTTCCATCTTCTTTTGATGCTTCCTGTATCATTCAGTATTTTGCCCGTGGAGTCCTTCACTATTGCAACTTGAGGCTTGAATTTTTTTCTTCAGTTCTTTCAGCTCTAGAAATGCCAAGCTTGTTCTTCCCTTTTGGTTTTCTAACTCCAGGTCTTTGCACATTTCATTATAATACTTTGTCTTCTCGCACTGCCCTTTGAAATCTTCCGTTCAGCTCTTTTACTTCATCATTTCTTCCTTTTGCTTTAGCTACTCGACGTTCAAGAGTAACTTTGAAAGTCTCTTCTGACATCCATTTTGGTCTTTTCTTTCTTTCCTATCTTTTTAATGACCACTTGCTTTCTTCTTGTATGATGTCCTTGATGTCATTCCACAACTAGTCTGGTCTTCAGTCATTAGTGTTCAATGCATCAAATCTGTTCTTGAGATGGTCTCTAAATTCAGGTGGGATATACTCAAGGTCATACTTTGGCTCTCATGGACTTGTTCTAATTTTCTTCAGTTTCAACTTGAACTTGCATATGAGCAAGTGATGGTCTGTTTCTCAGTCAGCCCTTGGCCTTATTCTGACTGATGATACTGAGCTTTTCCATCGTCTCTTTCCACAGATGTAGTCGATTTGATTCCTGTGTATTCCATCTGGCGAGGTCCACGTGTCTAGTTGCCATTTATGTTGTTAAAAAAAGGTATTTGCAATTAAGAAGCTGTTGGTCTTGCAGAATTCTTTCATGCAATCTCTGGCATCATTTCTATCACCGAGGCCATGTTTTCCAACTACCAATCCTTCTTTGTTTCCAACTTTCATGTTCCAATCACCAGTAATTGTCAGTGCATCCTGATTGCATGTTCAGTCAATTTCATACTGCAGAAGTTGGTAAAAATCTTCAATTTCTTCGTCTTTGTCCCCATTGGTTGATGCGTAAATTTGAATAATAGTTGTATTAACTGGTTTTCCTTGTAGGCATATGGATATTATCCTATCACTGATAGCATTGTATTTCAGGATAATAAAAACAAAAGCTGTTGCCGTCGAGTGGATTCTGACTCATAGCGACTGTAGTGGATTGAATCGTGTCTCCCAAAAATATCTGTCAACTTGGCTAGGTCATGAGTCCCACTCTTGTATGATTGTCTACCATTTTATCATCTGATGTGATTTCCTTATGTGTTGTAACTCTGTCACTATGATGTAATAAGATGGATTAGCGGCAGTTATACTGATGAGGTCTATAAGATTTGATAGTGTCTTAAGCCAATCTCTTTTGAGATATAGAAGAGAGAATCGAGCTGAGACACATGGGAACCTCATACCACCAAGAAAGTGGTGCCGGGAGCAATGCGTGTCCTTTGGACCTGAGGTTCCTGCACAGAGAAGCTCCCAGACCAAGGGAAGATTGATGACATGGACCTTCCTTCAGACCCGAGAGAGAAGCGTTCCCCTAGAGCTGACACCCTGAATTTGGACTTGTAGCCTACTGGACTGTGAGAGAATAAACTTCTCTTTGTTAAAGACATCCACTTGTGGTATTTCTGATATAGCAGCACTAGATGACTAAGACTGCGACACTATAGGACAGAGTAGAACTGCCCCATAGAGTTTCCGAGGAGCGCCTGGTGGATTTGAACTGCCAACCTTTTGGTTAGTAGCTGTGGCACTAAACCACTGCGCCACGAGGGTTTCCATACTTTAGGATGGATCTTGAAATGTTCTTTTTGATAA